TGTTTGGACTTCCATTTTGGTCTTTTCTCTTTTTAGTGATCTTTTGCTTTCTTCATGTATAATGCCTTTGATGTCATACCATACCTTTTCTGATCTTAGACCATCAGTGTTCAGTGCATCAGTCTGTTTTTAAATGGTCTCTAAATTCAGGTGGGATGTGCTCAAAGTGCTTTTTTGACTCTTGTGAAATTATTTTCATTTTCTTCAACTTCAATTTGAACTTGCATTTGAACAGTTGATTAGCTGTTACACTATTGGCTCCAGACTTGTTCTCATTGATGATTTTTAGCTTCTCCACTGCTACTTTCCATAATATAGGCTTTTTTAGTCCAGTGTACTCCATTTCATGAAATCTATAGATATAGTTGCTATTTATATTTTAAAAGTTATTTATAATTAATGCCATTGAATGTGAAAAAATTCTATCATGCAATACCCAGCATAATTTCTAAACCATAGCTAATCTTTCTTACTCATTTCCAGTTTTTTATCCCAATTATCCATAATTGTCAATACATCTTGATTGCATGTTTGATCCGTTTCAGGCTGCATAAGTTGGTAAAAAGCTCCAGTTTCTTCATTGTTAGTTTTAATACCACTGACATGAGTATCAGAATCGAGGTGATTACGATTCACAGCAAGCTTCACTGGGTTCCCAGCAGGAAACTTCCCATTTTTCTCCCATGGGCAGCTGGTAAATTTCAACCACTAACCTTTCAGTTTTAGGCATAATGTGTAACACACTACACCAGAAGATCTCCTTTTTATTTTAATGTTTGGTGCATAATCATAATTGAGTAATAATCCTATTAGCTTGTTTTCCTTATATACAGATGTCTATTATCACAGGATGAAACTTGAATTAGGTGGGTTTTGTTTTGGTTTGGTTTTTTTGTTTTGGGTTTGTTTTTTTTTGTTTGATTTTTAGGTGTTTTTTAAGATTAATGAAACATCATTCCTCTCCAATTTGTCTGTCTTAGCATAGTAAGCCATAAGATTTTCCTAGTCAAAATTGTATCTGCTATGTCAGTTCAGTAATGCCTAGGATTTTTATTTTTATGTGTTCCATTTTAGTTTTTAATAACTTCCAATTTTCTTAAATTCACTCTTCACACATTCCACATTCCAATTATCAGTAGATGTCTTCAGTAGTTTCTTCTCATTTCGAGTGGTGTAATATAAACATAGTAAATAAAGATCCATCAGTAAATAAAGATGCTGAAACTTTTACTTCTTTCACATCATTAAGGTAGACTCATTCTTCCACAAGAATGTTTCTAGTGCCTTTCAACCTAATCTTCTGGTCATGAATCAGACAGCATTCTGCTGCTGTTGATAAAGTTTTTACTGACCAATTATTTAAGAAGTGGATAGCCTGACCTGTTTCCTAGTCTATCTTGGTCTAGAAGTATCGCTGAAACCTGTCCACTATAGGTGGTCCTGCTAATATTTGAAATACTGGTAGCCTAATCTTCAGCATCACAACAATACACGAACTATCACAAACAGACAAGTGGTTGTTCAAAGTAGTAGATGTGAAAAAGGAAATAAAATAGCTTTTTAAAAAAAATTTATTTATTTCAATGAACATCTGCAGAGATTTTGGAATTCTATTAATTCATTGTTGCACCCTTCTCCCCGCCCACCCC